ACAAATATGTTTTGCCTTGTTTAATCGAAACTTTAGAGCAGATGTTTTATGACTATTCCACCAATGGGAAAAAAAATGGATGCTGAAAAGTGCCAGTAGCATGGCTTTTATGGGAGAGTTTTATTAGCTCAGCAGTATACTGTTCAACTAGGGAATGAAGGCATCAGCCAAGACTCAGGAATCCAGTTTAAATGAATCCCATATCCTGAATGTAGAATTCAGTTTGTGCCAGCATAGGGAGCAGTGGGGCTGGGGCTCACAGAGGAATGGATCTTTGAGCAGCCGGTCCTCATCCTCATTCTTGTCCTCATCTTTGTCCTTGTCCTCACTGTACCCTTGCCACTGGGGCTCCACCTCAGTCATCTTCCACCTCCTTTTTCACTTCCAGTTTCAGTACTCACTTTCAGGCTGAGAGGACCATCAAGGGTCCTGCACACTTCTGTAGGGCCAGGAGGCCCATGCCTCGGTTTGCCTGCCTGGGGAGACAGAGAAGATCCCAGGCATAAGACAAAGGGAGCATGAGGGCAGTAAGGAACCTGGCCACAAACACAGCAACATGAGAATATGTAGGGGGTCTCTTCCCCCTCTCCCTCCCTGGAGTTATGTTCCATCAGCAGGGCAGGGTCCATCCCCACACAGCACCTTTTCTGCCCCTACCATGAGCTTTCTGCTCGTGTCCCTCATCGCCATTTCAGCCAAGAGCATTTTGCTCTCCTGTTGGAAACCATTAACAATAAAATTGATGCAAACACTGCTGTGAGTAGCTCCAGTACCCATCGGATGAGCTCCTCAGGGGCAGACCTTCCATGTAATCTCAGTTCGGCATCTGAGATAGTTGGGACGATGTTGTGCCCTGGTTCCCTCTCAGCTCCCAATGAGCCCTATGGATGTGGTGTAAGCAGGGATGTAGGTGGAGAACAGGCTTGGCTACACACAGGAGGGCAGTGCCCCATGAGTGCCCTCTCCACACCTGGCTGTGACATCTGTTGGGAGGGAGAGCCCTGCAGTAGCCTTGTGTAGAGGTGATGCTTCCCTGACTTGTGTGTGCTCTGGGAAATTGCAATAGCTGTGCTCCAAGAAGGGCTGCTCCTCAGAGGCCTGATGCAAGCAAAGCCCCTGGATTTGTAGGAAGCTGCCACGTGCATCCAAGCAGATCCCACGGTGCTGTGCTGGTGCCACCAGCCAGCCAGCAGTGGCCTGGCCAGCTCGCTGCACAAGCGCCTCAGGAAAAGCAGATGGAGGAAAAAAGGGGAACTTTCCATTCCAGTGCCCCTAAAAGGACATTATAATTTTCATCCCCTGTGTCATCCTGCTTGCCTGGTTATGTGGCGTTAAATTAGGGCTCTGGTTCAGTTACAGCTCATTACAGGCTTGTGCGTGGCTTTGTTGCAGCGTGCTCAGAAGCACCAAAGGAGATGAGCCAGTGTGAAAGTCAAAGTTTTAGGAACAGCTTAGTGACTAGGACTGGTGACTTCAGTGAGGATTAGACGCAGTTATCATGGACCTGGTGTTACTACCTGGAGGGCATCAATCAGGGAGCCTCCCTGATGACCCTACCAGTGGGGAGAGCAAAGGGCTTGGGATGGATGTAGACTGATGGGAGATGGCTTCAGCATTTCCTTTTCCCATTTGAGCAAAGCAGTTGCCTTTTTAGCCTGTACCAAGGACCTGTGCAGGGCGCTGTGTGTGACACAGGGTGCCAAAGGGAGGGTTTTGAACTGTGTCAGACAGCAAAGCAGCTTTTCTGCAGAAATAGCTAAGTCCTGAAATACTTTAAGCATCTATGTTTACCCCAAGGCTCTTGCTCAGAGAGATGCTCAGCTGTGGTGTGGGCCTTTAGTACAAATATCACTCACAATGCCCAGACCAGAGCCACAAAGGGCATTGCTCACTTGTTGGCATTTAGCACAAACTGGAACCATCCCAGTATGAAATCAATGGACTCAGTAAATGAAATGACCTTGGCTTATCCGTAACACATCTTTATGTGCTCAGGACATGAGTGTGGCTGTCTTCTTGGGAGCAAATATCCCCATCCTGCCCCCAGGACTGCTTTCATCTCAGCAGTGTCCTCTAGCAGCTTCAGAAACCTTGGCTCCATCAAGGTTGTACTGGGCTGGGATGAGGGAAAACCACAGGGATTCCCTGGGGACTTCTTTCCCTGTTGTCATCACTCAGTGATGCCCATGTTTGCTAGTGTGAGTTCCATTCAGGCTTACAACTTTCTCTGTGTTGTGCACTGGCCTTTCTTCCAGCGCTGAAGAGAAGTGTGTTTGTAATTGCTGCACCTGGGGCCATTAGAGGGGCTGATTCAGAGGAGAATTGATCTGTTCTAAGAGGGGAGAGAGGAAAGCTGGCAGCCTCCTAGCTCAGATGCTGAGTCCTGCTCCCTTGGCCTTCTGAGAGCACCGAGAGAGCAGAGGCTGTGCTTTGGGCATGCCAAGAGGAGCCAGCACAGCAGCTTTCTGCAGGCTGCCTCCAAGCCTGGTTAGTGAGGTTCCCTGCCCTTTGCTCTGATGCAGGCTTGGGGACCCGCTGCCACCTCTCCCAAGCCCACCTGCCAGACTGAGTACCAGCCCTCCTGCTCACCTGTGCTTGGCAGCTGCTTTCTGGGATGTTCAGAGCCATGCTGAGCACAGAGGAGCTTCCCAGCCCCAAAGCAGGAGTACCCCCCAAATCCAAAGGCAAGGTGAGATCCAGCAGGCTGTCAAAGGGGAAGGCTGTGAGCAGAAAACAGCACTTTTTGATGGAAAGTGGTAACTGTGGGGATGCTGTTCTGGAGGAACCCCATGGGGTAGATGTTCAGCTGTGGGAGGGTTTGTTGTGCTGGATGCAGGCTGGCAAATTCCTCTGCTGCAGCTGTGTCTGACCTGGTGTAAGCCTGGAGAGTCCAAACCCAGTTGCCACTTCCCCAAAGTCCCGGAGCTCTGGTCAGAGCAATGCACTGATGCTGCAGCCCACAGCAGGGGGGCATGTGTTCTGCCCAAAGCATTGAGTGGCATTTGTATCCTCAGCAGGGACATCGGCCCCTGCCAGGCCTGGAAGCTCCTGCTGTCCCCAGACAAGTGAGGACTGAACTGGACAGGTTATTTCCCTTGTGCTGTGTGATTGCTCTCAGGATGCTGGTGGTTTGCTTTAGCACTCAAGCAGGGAGCACCTGGAACGGTTGGGACAGGTGCTGGAGGACTGTGGGTTAGGGGCTCTCAGCAGCCACCTGCCCTCCTGGGAAAAGCCATTTGGGTGCAAGAAGGATGATCTCTGCTCCTATGGCTGCCTCTTTCCAGGAGGACCTGCATGGGATGGGTGTCGTGGGACTGTTTCAGGGAGGTTTGAACACCTGCATTGCTGTCATTGCTGTAGGAGTCTTGCATGCCTGGCACCTCCCCAGGGCTTGGGGGAATAGCTGGAGGGCTTACAGGGTGCTCCAGTCCCACAGGGCTGAGAAACTGGGAAGAGAGAGGCAGAAGAAGGTTTGAGTCCCTGTGGATCAGCAGATCCACTCCCACTCCTTAGCATCGTTCCCCAGCCCATAAGAGCCTTTTAAACATCTCAAGGCACCTTAAGCTTGAAATACAGGGATAGGCAGGTGCATCTCCCTGTGGGTCAGCCTCCGGTGCGTGGTGAGAGCAAGGACACAGCAGTACGGCAGCCATCCCTGTGCCGGACCCCTCCTCATCCCCGCAGCCCTCCCTGCTCACAGCTGTGTCCTGCTTGCTCTCTTTGCAGGAGAAGAAAGGCCAGGAGGTTAAGAAGGGTCCCGAGGTGGAAATGGCGAAGCTGGAGAAGCTGCTTAGCCTGGTAAGAGAGCCGGAGGCCAAGGCAGAGACGTAAGAGGGGGGAACGATGACTCTGCCAGCAGCCGCCGGCCGAACAAGCTCAGCTTTGATCGGCGGCTGCTTGGCATGCAAGCCACGGGCCCGCGCCGCCCACTTTTTGCACAACAGGAACACTTCGCCTCTGTGCCCGGACAAATAAACGAAGGTGCTGGGAGAGCTGTGGTGTGCGGTCGCTTCTGAGGTCAGGCAAATCTCACCGTGCTCGCTACCCCAGAGCCACAAGCCCTCGGCATTCCCTGCCCTTGGATGGGTTTGCACTAGGTGAGAGCCCTATGGAGAGCAGGTGAGGGCTGGTCCCAGCAGCCCCAGGAAAGCCTCAGGACTGCAGCTTCATGGCAGGCAGTCCCGCCGTGAGCGGCGGCCTGAGCGACTGAGCGCTGAGCTGCAGCCCCACAGCCCCACAGGCATTTGTGTGGTCCCCTGGATTTTGGGGCGGCAGCCTAAGCTGGAGAGTGGCTTGAAACCTGGCCCATGACTGCGGGAGAGAGACGTGCCATCCCTCCAGAGAGCACATCAGAGCAGCTGCCGCTCACCAGCTGCGGGAGGGTCACGGCTCCCCCCTCCCGGGGGCCTCAGCCCAGCTGGTGCCTGCGGGAATGGCTGGGCGGCGGGGTTTGCAGAGCCTTCCCACGGCTCCGGCGCTGTGCAGCAGAGGATTAGCTGCTGCGTGCCTGCGATGGTGGCAGGAGCCGCGGTGGCCTCAGCGCATGCTGATGAGCGGTGAGCGTCGGGCTGTCACCGCTGGATCCTTGTGCATAGTTCCCGGGACTGGGGACCAGAGGCGCTCGGCCCACCACACAGGTGTGGTGGGATGTGTGCTCCATCCACTCAGCTGGCCTGTGTCCCCCAGAGGACACAGCTTGGAAACTCACAGTGCCTCTGGCGCAGAGGTTGGGGAGTGCTCCCTGCTGACACTCACTTGTCTCCAGACCAGGCAGACATGCTGCGGGCATGAAACACCAGGTCAGGTTTCTCACCCAGCATTTAAAAGCCACAGATGAATGAGGACACGAGCCCTTCCTTATCACCATCACCCAGCAAACCACCCACAGTCCTCCAGTCACATCGGCCACCAGCCCCGGGGCTCCTCAGCCCTGCGGGATGGCAGGACACACCACCTCCCCCAAATTTTTCAGGCGCTGGGTAGAGCTCAGAGACACCACCTGGGTCCTACAATTGGTTTATTAGTCTAGTAAAAACAAGGCTGCAAAGGGATGTGTTCACTACACCTGACATGGGGAGGAACCCCAGGCTCTGCCAGGCCTGGCCAAGCCTGTGCAGGGACCCTGGCCAGTGTCCCTCCCACCCCACCCCTCTGTCCCCTTATTGCAGTGGCTGTGCCAGCAGTGACCATGGCTATTGCTCGGCTCTAGGATAGGCAAGGCAGAGCCCTCCAAAACCCACGGCACCTGCTGGCAGGGCAGGGGATGCAGCAGCCAGGCTTGAGGACAAGCCAGACTACCAGCATCCCTCCCCACAGAGCCACTGTGATCCCCAGGGAACAGTCGGGGTCAAAGAACCTTCAGTGCTGTTTGTCTGGGCACTCTCATCTCCCCACATCTCCCACCTCCCCAGGAAAAAGCTGTCAGTGGGGATGGGAATGCCAGCGAGGGCACGTCTGCTGCTCGCAGGCTGGCCAAATCCCACTGTCTGGCTTCAGCTGGCAGTAGGCAGGAGGGAAGGCAGGGACAAACCCACGGTGAGGAAGAGGGCTGTTTGCCTAGTAGCATTAGTGCTAATGCTGGAGGGGATTGGCAGACAGACTGGGGAGGATCGGGCAGACCATGCAGACCCTCTTGTGCCTCATCAAACTGGCTGCTTGGGCAGATGTGTGCCAAATGCCATCCTGAGGCTGGGGACCCACGGCACCCCAGGGCCACCCCCAAACATCTGGACTGGTAACACCCTGCTCTGCCAGCAGGGCCAGGGCTGCTTGGGTCCCCCTGGGCACACCCCACCATTGAACAGCCAGCCTGCTTGGGAAAAAGTGCCTGTACCAGTCCTGCTGCCTCCCCTCTCTGAGCCTCCACCCAGCCTTGCTCAGGTCTGCACTGTGGTGGCCACTGTCCCGGGCCCATAGGCTCTTCCCGAGCACAGGGTGCACATGAGGGCAGGGCTCCTGCTGTGCTTTCTGGCCGCTGGGACAGGCATGATTGTCCCTGTAGCACATCCCCAGCTGTTGTCTCTCTATCCCCATGATCACTGCAGGCACTCGCAGGAACTTCACACACTAAAACCACCAAGGCAAAGGACTGTGCCCCCTGTCATGGCCCCTGTGAGCAGCTGGGTGTCCCCTCTGCTTTCATCATGCCTAGTCTTGCACCCCAGTCCTAGCACAAGCATCCAGGCTGGGGAAACTCCTCTGGCACAGCTAGGTACCCAACTCCCCAAATCAGGCAGATCAGGGCTGCAGCAGGTACTTCTCTTCATTCCTTGACTCATCCGCATCAGAAGCTGGGCTCTTCTTGGGGCATGAAGGGGTCCTGCAAGCTTTGCAGAGGATGAGGAAGAGGATGAGGATGAGCAATGCAATGACACAGTTAAAAGAAATTGCCACGATCGCCCCAGTGGAGAGAGCAGCCCCCATGGCCACTGTCCCACGGGAGTAAACAGGGCCCACAGCTTGGTCTCACACTTGGGATGCCAGTGCAGTGATTGCGTGTGCAGCCTCCACCTGCCGGCATTGGCAGGGGACAGAGGGGACAGCGGTGGTGCTGGCGGTGGGGTGGGGACGGGGCCAGGCAGGCAGCAGGACAGCGTCCTCCCCGTCAGTTTGGCAGCTCACAGCTGAGTCCCGGCTGCTCTGCACAGCTGGGAAGGATCGATGAGAGCCTTCTCTGGGCTCCTCCTTCCTCTGGCAGGACACAGGGATCCCTCTTCTCCTTCCTGGAAGAGAGAAAGTCACCGTCACCACGAGTATGAGGGGACAGGCTGTGTGAGCCCCTCAGGGTGGCCTCTAGGGGTATCAGGGGGCAGCGACCCCAGAGCCCAAGGGGCTCCGCTGGAGTATGGAGGCTGCAACAGCTTCCAGGTCAGATGCTGTTTGGAGGACCTTTCCAGCACCGCATGCCCTGGCAGTCCTCCCCATCCCCTGCGAGGGCCACCAAACTGGAGGTGTCCCCAGTGGGAGACCCATCGGCACCTCCCCGCGCTGCACTGGGTGACTACGGGCAGCCCTGGCCGGGCTCCTATCCCCTCTCCACCCGCTTTTCCTGCCGCCAGGACCCCGCTGCGAGGTTCCGCACCCAGAACGGGGCCAGGGGCCGGGCGGCAGCAGGTGGGGGCCGGCGTAGCCCCCCTTGTGCTTCTCACCGGGTCAGGGAGAGCCCCGGCTCCGGGTGTCCCCGGTGCCTCTGATCCCCGCCCGCCGCGGAGCCCCTGACACGGGGCAGCAACAGGTGCCGCCAACTCCGCCCTCCCGCCGCGGGGTCCCGGCGTTACCCACCTGCCTCCGCTGCGCCCCTGGAACCGCCGGGACCCCGGTGCCGGCGGGAGGCGCTGCCGGGGCCGTGTCCCGGCGCGGAGCGGGGTCCCGGCGCGGTGTGCGGTGTGTGCGGTGCGTGCGGTGTGTGCGGTGCTCGGTTCCGGTGCGGTCCCGCCGGGCCGCCCGTGGGTGCCGCAACCCCGCGCGCCGCCCGCGTCCTCCCGCCGGCACCGAGGGGCGAGGCCCGGCCCCGCCACGCCCCCGCCCCGCCATTGGTGCCCGCCCGCCGCCCGCCGCCCGCCATTGGCCGAGCCCCGGCCTGGGACACGCCCCCTCGCGCGGCGCCCACGTGAGCGGCGCGGGGACAGCGGCGGGCAGCGCGCGCTCTGCCGGCACGGACACGGACCGTGCAGACCCCGGTACTGCCCCGGTACTGCTCCTGGTACTGACCCCGTACTGCCCCAGATACTGCCGGTGCTTTCCCCGGTACTGCTCCTGGTACTGACCCCGTACTGCCCCAGATACTGCCGATGCTTTCCCCGGTACTGCTCCTGGTACTGACCCCGTACTGCCCCAGATACTGCCGATGCTTTCCCCGGTACTGCTCCTGGTACTGACCCCGTACTGCCCCAGATACTGCCGATGCTTTCCCCGGTACTGCTCCTGGTACTGACCCCGTACTGCCCCAGATACTGCCGGTGCTTTCCCCGGTACTGCTCGTGCTGCCGGTGCTGACCCCGATTTTGACACCGGTAATTTACTCGGTACTGACTCAATACTGCCCGTACTGACCGCGGTACTAACTCGGTACTGACCCCAGTACTGCCCGTGGTGCCGGTACTGACCTCGATATCGACCCCGGTACTGCCCGGGTAACTGCTCGGACTGACCCCGGTACTCCCATTACCGCCGGTAGTGCCCCGCTACCCGCGCTGAGCCGGTACCGACCCCGGTATTGCCTCCGGCACTGCTGGTGCTGCCGGTACTGCCCCGGTGCCTCCGCTGGCTCTGCTGCCCTCCCGCTGCTGCTCGTGTAGCCCTGCCTGTACCTCCCTGCCTGCCCTGCGCACATGTGTGCACACACGCACAAACACATGTTCACGGGCACACGGACACACACGTGCACCACGGCCCGGCATGCCGGGGTGGAGGACGCTGAACACGGACTTGCCAAGCTGAGCTGGGGTCCCTGCCGGATCACAAGGGCTACAGGCAGGGGTGGGCACAGGCACCGTCACAGCCCACAGAGAGGAAGGAACAGGACATTTAGGGACATTCAGTACCTGGGAATCTGGGCAGTATCAGCCTCACCCGCACAGCCGGGTTCTCCCTGTCCTGTTAGTGGAGGAACTGAGGAATGGGGCAACCCAACCCTGGGCATGCCACACCCCTAAACTGCCAGCTTCCATATGGGCACCAGAGCCGGACACCCTGGTGTGGGGCATCACCCCAAAGGGGGGGAACACCTGGTGAAGGACACTGGGGGGAGGTGGCTGGGAGGCACATAGGGCGCTGGGGGTGGTTCCTGGAGACCCCCAGGGATCAGGTCTTGGCACCTGCAGTTGCTCTGAAAAGCCAAGCCCAGGCCCCACGAGCAGCTGGTGACACAGACAGATGATGGTGACACAGGGGATCCACAGCAGCCTCCTGGGGAGCAGGGGCCTGTCCGGCTGGGCAGCTCCACACGGTGTGCTGCACCAGGGAAAAGAGGCAGCTCGATGAAGGATGGGTGAAGGCCAGACCCATCCTGGCTGACCTGGCACTCACAAGTGTGAAGGCTGGGAAATGCTTGATCCTGACAGGAGAGCCAACTAGTCAGTGGAGGATAACTTTCCAACGTGAAACAAAAATAACAATCATTTTGTACCTTTGATGAGAAGGCGTTAAACGTGCCACACAGGAGGGAGGCTCACACAGGCTGCCTGAGGACCTGGCTCTCAGGCTCTCCACTAAGGGGGTGTTTTGAGTAAACAAACACAGGCACATTGCCTGTTGAAATGTCAGAACCAATCTGATCACACACTGGAGCATCTTCCTTGGCATTTATGGCTAATCTGCTAATTAGTCAAGAAAAGCAGTCTCCTCCTTAGACGTAAGGGAGCAGCAGCTGGGAAGAGCACCAGGTAAACCAGATTAACTCTGCCCCATCCCCAGGCTTCACCTGATCTGGAACAGCAGACAGGTCAACAGTTTCCCTGCCTACCTCCAGGTCCAGGGACAGTGGTGGGGCAGGAAGCAGTAAGACCACCAGGAGAAGTGGAGGAGGAGGAGGCATGTAAACCCAGCATTGTCCTGGCCATGCCAGGTGCTCAGCCTGTGACAAAGCTCATGTTGACACAAGGCAGGCAGGGTTGCACCACATCTCTCCTGACCCCTGATTTAGGCGAAATTTCTTCTTTAAACACTTGTGTTTGTTGCCCATTGACTGACAATGCAAAACATTGGGTCCAGCTGGAGCTCATGACACAGGCAGGACAGGCAGTGCGTGGGACACATGTGAGCAGTGAGAGCTCAGCCTGTCACAGGGAACAGCACTTCCCTCCTGCCCAGAGTTACTTACCAGAGCTGCTCCAGAAGGGAAACTATTGCCTAAGAAAAGGTGATCCATCCTTTGCCTCGCTCAGCAGAGTTTGGAATAAGTCTTTTTGAGACTGCAGTTCTGGCCAGCTTAAAAGAGCAAAAAAAGTATTAGCAAAAATTTTCCCAGAAAAAACCCACAACGCTGACCTTTTTTGGATATTAAAGGAGGTTAATATTTGCATATTAAGCTACTCCCCTCAGATCAGGGTCCATTTGCAGTCATGAGAGGAACAAACACTAAGCAGCTGGAAGAGCAGCTGCAGCAACAGCCCCACCACCAATGCTCACAGGGTGACCTCCAGTGGGACAAGGTAGACATGACAAATTTCCAAGTTGCGAGAAGAGAAACTTTATTTTGAACCCAACTTTGTGCATTATGAAGGAGCAGTAAGGGGAAAGAACAGTATCCTCTGGAGCTTCCCATGACTACCACCCCAGGGCAGTGGTACAGCCCCAGGATTTCAGGCTGGTTATGGCACAAGTAGAGTGCTGTCATTCTGGCAGAGAGAAGAGCAACCACCAGCTCCGCAGAGCCAAAGTGGGATGGGAAGGGAGCTCTGTGCACACAACGGCAGATGGACCTGTACCCTCACAGTCGTACATTCAACCCCCCCAACAGGCTCAGCAGACAGACTCTGAAGCACACAAGTGGCCAACTAAGCCCTGTGTCCCACTGTCTGTCCACTCACAGCCCTGGGGATGCCAGGGAATTAATTCCATGTCAGGTCCCATCTGCCCTTTGTACCTGCCACACAGGCAGGCACGTGTCTGTCCCACAGCCTGGGCTGCTGCACCCTCTGGCAGCCGAAATCTGGCCGGGTGAGCAGCCCCTCTGCTGGGGCTCACTGACAGGACACCAACAGTCCTTGCTCACGCAGAGGTGACTCCCGTCTTCCCCGACCCACTATGAAGCACGGCCTGGCAGCCTTTGGCAAGGGAACTCTTCAAAATACAGTTTTAGACAGCCACAATCACAGGCAGTTACGAGAGTCCTGCCCTCCCCCTGATGTGTCAGCAGCAGCTCCGCAGCCCCAGCACGCGGCTGGTTCCTGCAGCCACCCCGGACCACGTGGCGCCGGTGCCTCGGGGCTCCCGCTCAGGGCTCCCCTGGCGCTGCCCCTGCGGAGCGCGGGTGCTTCCCTGTGCTCCCAACGCCCCGACCCCCACCCTGCTTTCTCTTCATCTGGCCCTGGGACTCTGCTTTGAGTGTATCGGTCCAGAAGGCATCAAAGGATCCTGGAGCCTGGTATCCCGGCTCCTGAGGGTCCAGGGGGTCTTTGCTGAGCAGGACACATATCGCAGGAATGTTCCTCTTCACTGTCAAGGCATCGAGGCCTGCCTCAGGCACGATAGGTTCCCACATCTCCTCGATTTGCCTGAAGAGCACCTTGGTGATCTGGTGCAGCTCCTTGAGCCGTCGTTTCATAATTTCCACACAGGTGATGGTCTTGCTGACAGCCTTGCCTGAGCCAGTGAAGAGAATCTGCCTCACAGACTCCTGCTCCATCTTGCTCATGGCATAGCCCATCAGATTCCTGATCTTGCTCCCGTCCTTCACCTTCATCTCAATGATATCAGTGGGCAGGTCAGTGAAAGGAAGAGGACAAGGTTTCTCCACGATTTTGGTCTTCTTATAGTTCTCCATTCTGCAGTACTGAAAGGGAAAACAGACCCATGAACACAAACTCCCACTGTAACTGCTGCCCCAAGAAATTATCACCAAAATTAGCTATGACCTCTCCTCTGAAGGGCACTCTCAGCTGTCAGAGATGGGGATCCTGGAGAACCATATCCAAAAGATATATCCTTATAAGGATGTACCTCCAACATGAACACACATAGGGCAGCCTGAGCCCCAGCAGGCAGGTGGTGAAAAGAACAGGCTGTTGGCCTGAACAGGACAAGTAACAAACACAGGCTGCATCTCAGACAGAACAAACGAGGGAGCTGCGGTTCCTGGGAACAGAAGCCAGGGGGATGCTTCCACAGCTGCACCCCTGTGCACCCCAGTGCACAGCCCAACTGCAGCACCTCGTGTGTTTCAAAGAGACGGGTCGTGGGGCTCTGGCAGTGCAGGTGAAGGTAAAACAGTGCGTGTCCCAGGAGAGAGAGCAAGCCAGGGGCTGCAGGAACAAACAGAAGTTTCCTCGAAGGAAAGTGAAAGATAGACCCTCTCTGCCAAGGCAGGTCCCATCCTTACCCAGGTCTCCCTGCCCTGTGCAGGGCACTCCGCCCCCTTTCCCCCACTGCTCGAGGCATTCAAGCACGCAGCACTTTGTTACCGGTGGGCTCCTGAGCCCCGTTCCACCCACACCTGCAGGGACACGGCAGCCCAAGGCCCGCGCTCCGGACCACGGGAGCACACGAGGCCCTCACCCCCGGCACGGCCGCATGGGAGCCCGAGAGGCCGGGATGCCGCGCTGAGATGCGGGGATGAACCCCGTGGGACGGGGGATGTCCGTGCGGGATGGAGGATTTCCCTGTGGGACAGGAGATGTCGCTGACCCCGCTCACCTGCGGCCACCTCAGCACGCCCCTCGCCTCAAGATGGCGGCCGGCGGTGCGCGCGCGCAGGCGCGGGGCGTGTGGGCGGGGCTCATAGTAGAGATCACGTGAGTAGTGGGCGGGGGCGGTGTGTGGCCCCGCCCACAGCCCGGGATGTGGAGTGGCTCCCGGAGCACCTCTGGCTTTCCTGGGACAGCTCCAGCTTTTTTCCTGGGCAGCTCCGGCTCTCCCGGACATCAGGCGAAGTCGGTGTCCCCGTGTGCGCCCAAGCAGTCCCGCCGTGGTGTGCCCACGGCTGAGCTCGCTGACCAGGGAGAGTACAGGGGCAGGAAGGCTCCTCCTGACTTCCCCGCGGGGATCCTGCCCCATTCCTGCAGGACTCCCAGGTCACACGCAGCTGGGCAGTGTCTCTCTAAGCTGAAGGGAACTCGGAGACTCCGAGTTGTGGCCAGACCCGTCAAGGCACAGCTCGTGCCCCTCACTGAAACAGGTTCTGGCTTGCAGCAGCCACTTGGGAAAGCAGGGGCAGGGTAAAGGCAAAAGCTGCTGCCTCCTCTCAGCACAGGGATGGGAGAATGGCTTGGGGGAGAAGCTCCATGAGGCCAGATGGCCCTGGGCACAAGCAGCTCCCAGGAAGAGCTCCCGTTTTTGTGCCACAGTTTATGGAAGGCTGTGGGAATGGAAGAGATTTACATGCCCTTGGCCCAAAGCTGCCTCCTGCAGCCACCTCCTGCAGACTGCAAGGAGATCGCTGCCTGGGAAAGCCCCCCAGTCTGTGCCAGGAGCAGTCCTTATACTCAGGGAGAGAGACACAACCCAGTCAGCGTTCCAGGACTTTACTACGGACCACAGTAAGAGGGGCAAGGGATTTTTAAATATGTTACAAACCAAGACACATTTCAGGGGAGTGCAAGATTTGCAACAGCGGCAGATTAAGGAGCAGTGCGGCTTCAATTCTGGGCTGACACAGCTCAGAGCACAGCCAGGTGTCCCTGGGAGCCCGTGGTGCCACTCCAGCATGCTCAGGCCAAGCGGGAAGGTGCCGGGGCCAGTGGATGCAGGCTGTGCCATGGGGCCCCAGGCTCTCCATGTTCCCGGCTCTGCTGTCACTCAGCCACAGGTTTTGCTTGCTTGGCCGCTTCCAGCCGTGTCAGTATTTCATTCCATTGCAGTAACTGCTTGGAGAGAAGCAGGGTCTAGACATTACTCTTAAGGAAAGAAATGTAGAAATCACAAGCAAGAAGCTAAGGGAATAGCACCCTGACAGAACCATTACAATTCCAAATCCCTGGGGGAGGCGCAGGGCTGCTGAAAGCCTACATGGATCCACACCATCCAGGTGTTGTAGGCACAGCACCAAACACAGGAGTCCAGGAGGCACTTCTAAACACCCTGTACCACTGCAATACAAGGGCTGTCTACAGCTAAGAGCAGAGCTTCCCTACCCACTTGTGGTTTTGGGATGTGCCTCGGCACTGGGATCGTACGCAGCCAGGATTAGGGGCTGACTGGCTCAGGCAGGTCACAGGGACAGAGGTGCCCCCACATCAGGAAGGGCACTGGTCGTTAAACCCACGGCTGGGAACCCAACAGTACCTGACAGGGGAGGGAGCTCTGAGACAGGGTCAGCTCAGCTGTGCCAGGCCTGAGGCTCAAAGGATACCATTTTGTTGTAGCTCTCCAGGAGTGTCTTGACACTGTCAGTGAGATCATGACGCTTCTCCTGCAAAGAGGGAGGGCCACAGTGAGAAACACACAAGCTCAAGGACATCTGTCCTTCCCAGATCCTGAAAGCATGGGGGAGAAACTCATCCAAGGCCAGTACTGAGATTAGAGCTCAGATACCAGCTGCGGCTGCTCACTTCAGCTGGAAAGGTTTCCACAGTCAAGAGGAAGGTCACAAACATCCCTGCTGATAAAGCACCAAACGCCCTGGGCTTGCACCACTGTTGCCTCGCCTCAGGATCCAGGCTTTGCCTGCCCCAGAGTGGAAACTCACAGCAATATGTTGAAAGGGGCCATTAGGCACTGCCCAGGCTACTCACTGCCAGCTCCAGGAGTGCTCACACAGGGAAGGAAAGGGTGAAGTAACAGGGTGACAGTAACAGCCTTCCAGAGACTAGGACACTGGAAGAGTGCAATGCTTTACCTCAGTGTCCTAGTAAAAGGGAGGAATGACAGATGGTTAAACCTACTATGTGTCACTCAAAGCTCTGTTTTGAGCAGGGTTTTGGTAGGCAAATTTCCAGCGGTTTTCCAACTTGGACTCCATTGCCAGAAATCCTGGCTCCTTTCCCCCCTTGGAGTACTTGAAATTCTTTAAGATTGCAGTATGCATATTCTGGAATTGAAAAAACCTGCTACAATCGACCAAATCAAGCAATTGCAAATACAGGGGTGTCAGTCAAGACTCCGGCAAGACGTTCCTCCTCCCTTCTAGTCACGACTGATAGGAATATTTACAGTACCTGCTGCTGTATGTGGATCTGTGAGAGTCGCTGCAGTTTGGCTGCATGGTCAGGAACCGCTGAAAGCAGAGGAGAAATCAGTTTTGCTTTTTGTTTTGACAGCACACAGGACGAGTTCCCAAAACAAAGAGCACTCCTCCTCCACAAGCACAGCACAGCAGAGCTCACTGAATGCCAGTGCCACACACCACAGACATAGCTTTTATAGGATTAAAAAAAACCTACCAACTACCTTGTACATTAAAACACTAAGTTTATCTGCTCACTGCTCCTGGATGGCACGAGCTCAGGGGTGCCCACAGCGAGGGCTACTCAAGAACTACACCAGAGTAAAGCACTTGGACAAACATTATGGAAAGCACTTGAAAAGGCACCTGTACCTCTGCCAGGTTAGAGCAACATGAGGGAGGAGCACACACACCACCATGTTTATACCTAGTTCACTCTCACATGACCATGTGCTGTCCTCTTCTCCAGTCTCAGGCTCAAATGAAAAAACACCCCAGAAAACAGGACAGGCCACAGCTTGAAGGGTGGCATTTTCAGCTCAAACTTGCAGAAGAACATGCATACCTTGGATACTGGCACTGTCCAAAATGGGCTGGAGGTTCTTCACCTGCTCCAGAAGGGCTGCACGTTCAGGAATAGCCTGTTCCTCTGGGGGGGGACACACAAGACACAAAACCAGTGAACATGAGGTGCTGCTCTGGCTTTTCACAAATAGCTGTAACTTTTCCAGCTGATCTGTCTTAACAGAAAGGGGCTTGTTCAAGATTTTATTTAAGACGTCTGTGCTGCTCATCCCTGGGTCTTGATTCACTCCAATTTCAGGCAGGAGAACCTCCACTGAATTGCAGTGATAGGACCAGGGGTGAAGGATCAAATCGAAAGAGGGGAATGTTACATTACGTATTAGGAAGAAATTCTTTACTGTGAGGGTGGTGAGACACTGGCATGGGTTGCCCAGGGAGGTTGTGAATGCCCCATTCCTGGCAGTGTTCAAGGCCAGGCTGGACAAGGCCTTGAGCAACCTGGTCTAGTGGGAAGGTGTCCCTGCCCACGGCAGGGGGTTGGTACAAGATGAACTTTAACATCCATTCCAAACCCTTAACATCCTATGATTGCACAATTCTATGAAGTCCCATTCACAGACAATACTATTACAGGCTGAATCAAATTCCTTAGGACAGAAGAGCACAAGGCTTGGTGGTGTTTAAAACACATCTAAACACCTTCTGTTTTCGTCACTGCCTAGAGTACTGGAAGTGGGGCGAGGAAAACCATTCTAGCTCCAGTTTTTCTGATCAGCCTTTGATTCATTCGGGGTCAAACTGAACAATCAGTACTAAAGAGATAAGAGCTGATAAAACTGCAGTGCTGATGTGCACAAGGGAGCGCTGAGGGTGGAGAACATCCTTATACAAAGCATGTCTCTGATGCTTCCAGAAAGCGTGGGCCACATCTTTACGACTGAAGGAAAGAAATCCACCCTGACCCATCTCAGGTAAAGGACACTTTTTGCAGTGCTACAAAACCCTCTTGTTTCCCCTCCTTTCATGCCATACCTGCCAAGATGAACTGCAACTTCATGGCATCTGGAACAGCCATCCTGTCAATGTACTGAGGGTCAAGGTACTTGATTACATCTTCAACTGGAGTGTTTGGAGACAAGAAGTAGGGGAGATGTTATTGCATACACAAGTGCAACTTTCCCCTGTGCCACCTGTCAGATTGCTTTGCAAACACTGCTTAGGGGCTTTTTTTTTCTTTTCCAATTAATTAATTGCTACTTGGAAATATGTGACTTTAGAGCACTGTGAGCAAGAACTGACAAATGGCTCAAGCCCAGAAACCCCTTTGTTAGGGACACCTGCAACACTTGCTTTTCGTTTGGATAACGATACCAAAGGTGAACGAAATCTGCTTCCTTCCACCCTCAGAACAAAACCAGCCCACAACCCTCCATCCTGGTCCTTAAAATCATCAACAAATACACGCTTTACACTTTTACACTGGACAGCCTTGGACCACAAAGACTCTCTTGCTCCTTCTGTGACACCAGACACCAAAACCTGGTCAAGAGGTAGCTCTGCAGGACAAGGCACCCCCTCAGTTTGGAGGCAGCTCCCCAGGTCTGTCCACCAGTGTCTGCGTGTGATCCTGATCACTCCCACCACACACACGGGGGAATGCTGCTCCAGCGTGGCCGACAAAACCAAGCACGCAGGAATTAATTTCTGGAGCTCCGAGAGGCCTCAGGGGCTGCATTCCAGGCGGAGCAAATCCCGGCACTGACACAGGCCGACGGACATCGAGCGAATGACAGGTCGCAGCGGCCCTTTTCCCAACCCCGACAGCTGAGCCGGAGAACCGCGGGCAGAGACCTCCTGCAGTAACTTATTTCTCTGCCAAATACGCAAAATAAGGGCCCAAACATCAACGGGGATCAAACGCGGGGGGGGGGGGGGGGGCAGAAGCATTTTTTTGTTTGCAGCAGCGAAACGTCACACGGGGGTTTTCGAGCTCCCCCTCCCCCGCCTACTCCTCCCGGCTCCCCCTCCCCGGGACCCCGCTCACGTTTCTTGAACAGGATCTTGATCCTCTCCCTCTTGCCGGCGATGTTGCTCAGCGCCACCTGCACCTTCACCAGCTCGTCCGCCACCTGCAGAGGCACAGAAAGAAGCGACGGGCCTGTCAAGCCCCGCCGGGCCGCGGCACCCCAGGGCTCCGCCGGGCCGCGCCGGGCCGGGCCGCCCCCGCCGGTGTCCGCAGCTCCTCCTCGGCACCTTTCTCGGCCCGCAGCCCCCGCCGCCGAGCCCGACGCGCCGCTCCAGCTCCTCCAGCCGCCACTGCAGCCGCTGAAGCTCCGCCGCGCCCGCCGCCATCTTCGCGCCGGGCGGAAGCGGCCGCACCTCCCTTCCGGCCGTTGCCATGGCGGCGCGTTGCCAAGGACTGCGGTTGCCATGGAGACGGGAGGCGCGGGATGCGGGCGGGGGCGCGGAGCCCCTCTCGGAGGATGCGGGGCGGTCGATGGCGATTTGCACTGCAGAGGGGAGGCGTGCGGCCCTCCCGCCGCCCCGGCGGGCAGTCGGTCGATGGCGGCTTCATTGTGGTGCCGTCCTCCAGGAAAGAGGCGCTGAGATGTATTAAAAAGAATTGATGTAGCGATCCGTGTGGATGCAGGAACCTTTGAAATCCGGGAGGCTGCCTCGGGCTTTCCCCCAGGCCCCAGCCTCCCCGCGTTCACCTTTCTCCTATCGACTGCTGCAGGTGATGCTCGGGAGGAAGAGAAGCACTAAGGAGTGCTACAGCCAACCCCAGCCCCACTGCTGCCTTCAGCTGGCACACTCTGCCACATGGATCTCTCAGAGGCATGAGATGAATTCATGCTAGCAGCAGCCACTACAAAGAAAAGTCCAGGAAGTTTCTAAACTGCAGAGGGAAAGGTATCATGGATACATGTACATATGGAGAAGTGTGGCCAGCAGGTCAAGGGAGGCGATGCTGCCCCTCTACTCGGCCTTAGTGAAGATACATCTGGAGTACAACTGTATACAACTCTGGGCTGTTCAGAACAAGAAAGACAAGGAGATACTGGAGAGGGTCCAGTGGAGGCCACAAAGATGGGGATGGGTCTGGAGCATCTCTCTTATGAGCAGAGACTGTGGGAGCTGGGCCTGTTTAGTCTGGAGAAGACTGAGAGGGGATCTCATCAATGCATATAAGTATCTTAAAGGCAGGTGCCATGAGGATGGTGCCAGACCCTTTTCAGTGGTTCCCAGCGACAGGATGAGGAGCAGTGGCTGTAAACTAAACCACAAGAAATTCCACTTCAACATGAGGAAGAACTTCTTCATGTTGAGGGTGACAGAGCACTAGAACAGGCTGCCCAGGGTGGTTGTGGAGTCTCCCTGTCTGGAGACATTCCAATCCCACCTGGACACATTCCTGTGTCACCTGGTCCAGGTGACTTTGCCTTGGCAGGGAGGTTGGACTGGATGATCTCCAGAAGTCCCTTCCAACCCTAATTATTCTGTGAGTTTCCAAAGCACCTTTTGATAACATCCCCTGCACCCCAGGGCTCACACAGCCACTGCCCTGTCATGCCCAGAATGAACATGGGGCTGGGTGTTGCACCACCACACCCTAGGCACCAGGGGACATCAAGTCAAGGTTCCAGGCCACTCTTTTAGCTCCAAACCATATGGCAATAGAGAGTACTTTGTTAACATGGCTAGTAATGTGGGTTGAGTGGCTTTGGGGACCCTCCCACTCCCCTTTGCTGAAAGCTAAACCCACTGTGCCCTGAAAAATCTTTGTCCTTCTAGATGTTTTCCTGCTGAGAGTTGTACAGGCCTGCCAGGCTGCAGGAGGGACCTGTGGGATGGCCCAGTGCCCCAGCAGCCCCTCTGCCCCCCAAATAACCCTGCAGGAGCTGTACAGAGCATTCTGGCAGCAGGAGAAAGCTGAGGCTTCATGTGCTCTGCCTTTTTTCCCAAGGATCGATAGCTGAGATCTTCAGAGGGGAAGAGCTGAGCTTTGTTCCACAAAGGCGACAAATAGAAATGGCTTCATTAGCAGAAGTGCCCGGGGGCTGCAGGGGGCCTGGGGGCTGTGCACACAATGCTGCTCTGTGCTTAGATGGTACCACCTCTATCATGGCTTGGGCCCAGCATGATGGGCAATGCCTCAAAAACACAAATGCTTGTATTGGAGGGTCACAGATCACCTACTTCCCCAAGGTAAGAAACCTGGGCAGTCCTGGGACTCAAGCACTGAGGGGCTTTGGGACTGTCCTCATGCACCCTTTAGAGTCCCATCCAGTTTGCAAGCCTTGGAATGGAGCTGAAGCTGCAGCGCTGGCTGCCCACAGCCCAGCACAGAGCACAGGGAGTCTGCTCCCTGCCCCTTTGGGCTGAGAGGAAGCCTGTCCCCATCCCTGGAGCCTGCAGCGGCACACGAACACCCCCAGCAGCTGCCCCCAGAGTGGTGCTGAAGCTGGATCCAGCGTGCCTCCTGCAAGGCTGGATTGTCCCCTCATCCTCTGTCTCCTCCCTCCTGCTCAATTACAGTCCCTGCAGGACATGGGGAAGTGGGCATCAATCACGGCTGGTTACTCAGGTGACAGCAGCTGTGTCCCCAAGCCCCCCAGGGAGCATGGAAACACACATCACCCCCCGAGCCTGGTAATGAGTGGGGATGTGGGCCCGCGTGTGCCCTCCTGGCTCCCTGGGGCTCTGGTGCTCGATGAGCTGTGGTCAGCACTTCACAGCAGTGACAAGGAACACAAGACCCCAATTAAGGCTGCATCAATCCCACTCTGGCTCCGCTTGGCACGCTCACAAACACATACACCCCCACACACACGTTCACAGACTTGCCCCCAACCCGGGATACAGATTGTAGAGCCGGACCCGGCAGACCGAGGGTCCTCTGCAAGGGTACTGTGTCACCCGCGTGTTCCCAAAGCGTCCCTAGCGTGACACCCTTATCCTCCATGTCCCTGCCGCGTCCCCACGTTCCCCTGCCCCCGAGGACAGGTCCGGGGCGGGCAGCGCTGCTGCAGCACTCTGGACAGCGACCGCGTTACACGCGTGGGATCGGGGGTTCGGGTTGAGGCTGTCCCCGGGGGACTGGGCGCGTCCCCGAGGGGCTGGGGCTGTCTCTGAGACTGTGAATGTCCCCTTCGGCTGGGCTGGGGCTGTCCCTGAGTAACTGTGGTAGTAGTTGGGGGTGTCCCCAAGAGCTGGAGGTTTTCTCAGGGGGCTGGGTCTGTCCCAAGGGGGGACTTTCAATCAAGAGTATCTGTCCCCTTGGGTGCCAGGGACCTGGCTCAATGGATGCCAGGGTGGACCTGTCCTTGTGGCTGCCTCTGGCTGGGGTGTCTGTCCCACGGGAGCTCCTCATGCCTCTTCATGTGTACGGGTGGCTGCACGTGTGTGCAAGTGCTTGTGCGAGCACGTGCATCTGCCCACACGTGTGAGTGTGAATGCCATCGACTTTGTACAAGGGAGCACAAGTCATCTGGGCACGTGTGTGGTGACTGAGTGCCTGAATATCTCCGTGCCTTTCCATGTGCACCCATACAGGCACCCGTGACCACCCACGCATACGTCTGTGCCTCCCAGCCCCACCTGGGTCACCTGTGTCCTCTGTGGGCACTGCCCAGGTACCAGGCTGGCCCAGCACTGCTGGCAACTCACCAGGTGCAACCTCACAGCCCCATGGCCGTGGCCCCAGCAGCCCCAGGGCCCTGTTCCTTGCCTGGCAGAGGCGGCCTAATGGGATCCCCACCCAAGGATGAGCTGCCACAGGGAGCTTGGAGGGGAAGGGAGCCTCGTGGCCTGGCTGGCATGACTGGAACTGGTGCCCAGTATGATGCAACCTGTGCTTGAGGGCTCTGGTAGATGTAGGGCACCTGTTTGCAACTCAGAGCTCTCAGAAACTGAGGCAATCCTTGCACCGGAGGCAAACGTGAGGCGGGCTGTGAAACCTCAGCCATTAGAGCTGATAACCCGGGTACCACAGGCTGCAGGGGTGTCCTACACCCCCAAACAGGGACCTGGAGGAGCTTGGTACCCTGTCATGCACACCACCCCTCGACACTGGTTTGGTTCAGCAATTTGTTTCCTTTAATGGATACATGGAGTCGCACAGCTGCGATGGGAGCGAGGGGGCAGGACTGGCGATGCCGAGCCCCCCACGCTGAGGTAGAGGTGAGCCTTGCTCCACACTCACCTGCTCTGGCACCCTGGGGTGCAGGCAGGTGGAAGAGGAGCCCGCCCAGCCCCAACGAGGTAGTTTGGAGTGCCCGCTGTCTCCCCACCCTCCGGCTGGGGGACTCTGACATCTGGGCAGTCTTTGGTGGTGGGGGGGCTCTGCTGGGCCTCCATGCCCTCAACCCTCACCCCAGTATTAACCCCCAACCCCAGCCCCACCTCAATAAGCTCCACCCCCACCATTCCCACCAATATCCCCATTATTTGCCCCCACCAGGGTGACACCCCCTGAGCTGAGGACCTGGGGGGCTGAGATGCCACCACCCCGGGGGTGTCTCAGGGCAGAGGCAGCAAGCCCAGGCAGCGCAGGAGGACTGGGTAGGGGCATCTGCAGTGGGTAGGGGGTGCAGTATATATATAGGGGCTGCAGTGTATATGTGGCTACAGTTTACAGGGGCTGCAGAGTACTGTGCCTGCAGCATTTGCATGGAGGGTGTGCATGGAGACCTCACGTGGGCACCAAGGGGATGCAGTGTGTGCACTGGGGGTGCAGTGTATGCATCGAGGTGTGTACAGGGGCAGCAGTGCGTGCATTGAGGTGGGTAAAGGGGCTGCAGGATGTAGGGGATGCAGCATGCAGGTCCCAGGGGGTGCCCCAGGCAGCAGGGCAGCAGGAGATGTACAGGGGGTCACCTGGGGGCAGTGCCTTGGGAAAGAAGAGGTGTCTGCGTGTCAGAGAGCACACACAGGGACAAGGGACAAAAGGGCCCACCTGGGTGTTCAGGGCCTTGCATGGACACAGCTCAGTATTGGAGCAACAGGCACCTTGGGGTCCCCCATCCCACCGTGGCGGCCCAGTGGGGTCCCACAGCTCAGTCCCCCACACCCTGGGCACCCCCAGCTGCTTTCAGGGTGCTCTCAGGCCTCTGCCTTACGGTGAGGCGCTGGTGGGAGTGTGGCTATGAGAGGAGGGTGGGAGCAGGGGGTTTGGGGCAGGCATGGCGTTCGGACGGGTCTGGGTGCTCCCTCCACCAGGTGCCGGGGCAGCTGAGGGCCGGCGGGCGAACAGGACACCTGGGGAGCAAGAGCAGGGGGGTGAGGGCAAGCCCAGGGTTGGGGGATCTGCTCACCTTCCCCCCAGCACCCAGGCTAGGGAGTGTGGGAGCAATACCCATGGGTGCTCCATCTCCCCCTCATCACCT